CAACAACAACTAGACTGTAAGTTCCTAACAATCAGGCATGAAGTCTTTCTCAGGGAGCTCTGGTGGCACAGTGGTTAAGGCATTTGGCTGCTAACCAAAATGTTGGCAGTTTGAGTCCACTGGCCGTTCTGTGAGAGAAAAATGAGGCAGCCTGCTTCTGTAAAGATGGACAGCCCTGGAAGCCTTGTGGGGGCAGTTCTCTGTCCTGTAGAGTCGCCAGGAGTCAGAATTGACTTGATGGCAGTGGGTTTGGTTTTTTGGTTTTAGGTCTTTTTCCCTATCACTCAGTTTCCTTTACAGTGTCCTGAACAGAGTGGATATTCCCTAAGTGTATGTGATACTCTTTTACTTCAGAGCTCTCATAGCCTCCATATATTTGAAAAGCTGATGTCAGCAGTCTTCAGAACTTTGCACTGTTAGGTACCCACTACATTTTAAACTCCCATTTTACCATTTAATTCAGCAACATAAAAGCATTTTAAAAGGCAAAATGTACAACAATAGTTTGTAGAATATGTTACCAATTGCATAATACAGTATATATTTATAAAAAAAAAAATATGTATGTATATATGCTTAGTGTAATCCACGGTTCTATAGGTAAAAACCAGTAGCTGTTAGTGTCCAGGGAGGAGATGTATATTTGTAGGGAACACAGAGGAGAAGGTTTTGTTACCTTGCCTCTGTGACTGCAGTTTCAAACCTGTGTAGAGAATGCTTATCTAAGTTAAAAAATTATTTTTTGAAATAGCCCTCCTACTGAAAAGGAATTTTACTGTGATTTGCTTTTTTTAAAAAACTTTTTATTTGTAAAGCAGTGCTTCCCCATTGCTCCCTCCTCCCACCCCGGTGACCACTAAAGCAGGTGACCACTAATATGCTTTAGTCTCGTGCCTTTGCCTGTCCTGAGGGGGAGTGGTTGCACCTTTGTCTGTCTTGAGGGGGAGTGGTCGCGCCTTTGCCTGTCCTGAGGGAGAGCGGTCGCGCCTTCTGGTTAGCAGTCAGATGCCTTAGGCACTGTGCCACCAGAGGTCCTTAGATTACTGGGTGAGACCATGCCAGTAAGGTGTATGGAAGCCTAATGTGAGGACTGGTTAGTTTTCTATCCTGATGGGCTTAAAATGAGCCCTCCTAGAGGGAGAAGAGGGGATCTCAGTGACATCAAGAGGGAAGAGCTGAAGTGAGCACGTCCTTGGACCCGAGATCTCCTCGGACCCGAGATCCCTGCACTGGACCTTTCCAGAAAGATGGCAGAGATGACTGGCTGAGACAACAGGCTGAGGAACCAACAGGCACGAGGCAGAGTGGCAGGCTTGCCGGCCCACAGAGCGAGAAAGCTGAGTGCCTTTGGGCAGGAGGCTTGTTGGTGGAGTGGGGTGCACGTAAGTGTACCTATTGGCAGAGTAGAAAGAGCTCTGTAACACTTGCCCAAGCAGGGCAGAGGCCAGGCTGAGAGGCCGAGGGCTGGAGAGGCATGCCGGAGGGCACAGCAGAGGGGAGACTGTCCTGATAGAAGGACTGCATCCTGAGAGCCTTCCTGAACCTGCATTATAGCCTGTTCCTTCCCTAATAAACCTCGTAATCGTGAGTATTGTCTGTGATCTGTGTGGTCATTGCAACGAATTACTGAACCCAGGAGAGAAGTAGCAAGTGCTGTGGGAGGGACGGTAGGTGTCACAGTTGGTAAAAAGGCTGGAGGGTGGCAGCATGTCTGGCCTCATAGGAATCAGCCTTGGGCTGTTGATGGTGACTCTTTCCCCCTTGTGAGGCTGGAGGAGGTCGGAGGAAGATGCCAACCCCATGTTCTTTCTGCAGTGTAAACCACGTTTTGTTCATCCGTTGATAGACACTAGGGTTATTTCTGCCTTTTGGCTGTTGCAAGTAGTGCTGCAGGGAACACTGGTGTACAAGTGTACAAGTGTGCAAGTATCTGTTTGAGCCCCTGCTTAAAATCTTTGGGTGAATGCCCAGGAGTGGATCGCTGGGTCCGCTGGCAGTCCCGCGTTTAACTTTCTGAGGAAGGACCCGGTGATTCTGCGTAGCAGCTGAGCCTTGTGCAGGCCCACTAGCAGTGGGCAGGTGTCAGTTTCTCCACATCCTCATATGATTGGCTTCTTAAGATTCAGTGTCTTTCCTCAAAAAAAATGAAGCAACTTTAGCCTTAAGTAACATTGCATTTTTCATAGTTTATTTATATGGCTAGCTTACTCTCAGTCTTGATAGTTTAACCTTTGAGTTTTGGCAGATACTAAGAGTACTTTAGCACTGCCAGATGGAAAGTTTACTGTTCTTTATAAATACAAATTGACTAACCAAGAATGATTTTGTTTGTTTCACCCAGTAAACTAAATATCACCAGCAATTGATTCAGCTCAAATTTTATGATCAGAAGAAAGATTCTGTACAGGAACATTTAAGATAGCCATTTTTGGAAGAATATTTTTGTCTCTTTAATGATTAGATAATGCTTAGGCCTTAGGAAACAAACAAATCTGTCTTGGAAGAAGTATAACTAGAATGTTCTTTGGAAGCGAGAATGGCCAGACTTCATCTCACCTACTTTGGTCACGTTGCCAGAAGGGGCCATACCCTGGAGAAGGATGTCATGCTTGGTAAAGTGGAGGGTCGGCAGAAAAGGGAAAGACCCTCAGTGAGATGGACGACACAGTGTCTGCAGTGATGGGCTCAAGCACAGCAAGGATTGGGAGGATGGGGCAGGACCGGGCAGGGTTTCATTCTGCTGTTCATAGGGTCACTATGAGTTGGAGATGATGCGACGGCACCTAACAACGACAATTAGCCTTAGGAATATAACTCTCTGGGCAGAATGCTCATTTCAGTATCTTAAAAGTGCTTTCCATTTGGGTGGAATTAGCTTTTATTTAAGGTTGAAAATTCAGAGTGGGCCTAACGAGTAGGCAGCTTACATGGTCCCAGAGTTGTACCTTAAGAGAGATGAGGTACCAAGAGCAGATGGTTACTGACAGGTCTTCCCGTGAGTCAGCATTTACAATGATCTAAGGAGTAGTCCCCATCTTATTGGCACTCCCCCGATCATAAATGTAAACCTTGGTATGCTCACTGAAACATAAGCATTGGAATCAGTCCGTGCAGAGAGGTTCATTGGGAAGTAGAGAGGGTTAAGATTCTCCGTAGAACCTCTCTCTTGTTCCCTATCCCTGATTCCTACTTTCTGGATAAAGGGTGTAGTGTGGGGGTGCAGATGAATGAAGCAGTAGTCTTATATACCTGGGTGGCAGGGCATAGTGCCAAGAGGGAGGAAGCAACTGTGGGGTGAAGAGGAACAGGTTTATATGAAGGCTTGCCAATAGAGCCAGCGCCTGCACTGAGTTCTAAGAGATGAGGAGGAGTCCAGACAAAAGGGAAAGGAAGTTTTAGGCAGAGATACTTGGATCTGTCAAGGCACAGAAGTATGGAAATCACTCATTGAACTGCAGGTAACGTGGTATGGGGGAGCTCTGGTGGCGTAGTGCCTAAGGCATTTGACTGATCACCAGAAGGCTGACAGTTCAAACCCACCAGCCATTCTTTGGAAGGAAGGTTGGGCAATCTACTGTAGTGATAACCGCCTCGGAAGCCCAAGGAGGGGTTGCTATGAGTTGAACTGACTTGACGGTAGTGAGTTTGGTTTGATGTGGTATGGCTAGTGTTGTGGCACAGACTAAGGGAAGTGTGAGGTATGAGAGAAGAGGTGGGAAAGATGGCCTAGGTCCAGATTGGCAGTTTGGACTTTTTCCCATAGGTAGCAGCATATCCTGGCTAGTATCCTGGATATAATCAGATTAATGAACTTTGGAAAAATCACTCTGAAATTTGTGCCAGGCAGGGCAAGACTAGAGACAAGCAAACCACTTCAACAGCTGTTTGAATAGTTTAGAGCTATGACGGGCTTGGACTAGAGGAAGTCCTGGTGGGATGAAGAACAGGGGATGGGTTTGAGAGAGATTCTGGAGGCGGGGTTGACAGGGCCTATGAGAAACGAGGTAAGGGACAGCGGGGACAAAGACGGCACTGCATTTAGGTGAATGGAGTGCATACCAACGCTAGAGGATAAGGAGGGGAATGAGTTTAGGGTGGAGAACAGTTTGGGCCCCTGACTTCAAGGTGCCAGGGGACACCCACTGGAGGCGTCTGATGGGCACTGGGGTTGTCTGTCCGGTAGGCGCAGGAGTCAATGATGCCCTCAAGTGGGGTTGCTCTTCCTCGGCTTTCTCCTCTCCAGCACGGTCCTCCTGCTCTGTATGTGGGAGATGAGAGTGAGTAGGTCTTGGCCCTTACGAGATGTGATGTTGAGTCTCGAGGAAGTCATTTCCCATCTCAGAACCTGTGCTTCCCTTTCTGTAAAGTGAAGGAGCTGAACTAAGTCAGTGGTTCTAAGCCAGAGGTTTGCAGCCATCTGGTGTACTGGGATCAGTTGTGTACATTTTACTTGCCACTCATCATGCAAGTAACATTTGCTTGCTTGTCTAAATTAAAGTTGATTATGTCATTCTTTCTTAATTGCATTCAGTGGCTTTCGTGAGTGTGAGGAAGAGGTGGAGTTACAGTTAGTCTGCTAGGATTTCATAACTCTAGCTGAGCCGGTGGGAGTGGCACACAGGAGTGCCATCCTTCATTAGGTAAAGGTGGGGGAAAAAGCTTAACAATAGCTACACTAGATGGTGGTTAAGGACTTACCAAAACCAAACCCACTGCCGGTGAGTCAGCTCTCACTCATAGCAGCCCTATAGGCAGAGTAGAACTGCCTCAGAGGATTTCCAAGGCTGTATATCTTTACGAAAGCAGACCACCACATTTTCTTTTCCTGATGAGTGGCTGGTGGGTTCGAACTACCGACCTTTTGGTTAGCAGCCAGATGCTTTAAGCACTGCACCACCAGGGCTCCTATTAAGAACTCACAACTTACATAATTCTATGTTTATATCTAGGACTTACCATTCTGATTCTAAGGGATAATTTTTATTTTTGCAACTTCAGGAACTTTATTTTAAGACCCTCTCAAAACGGAAAAAACAAGCCATGGAGAAGAAAGGGGATCACCGAAAACTTCGGGTCTGCGTCGCTACCTGCAACCGTGCCGACTACTCCAAACTCGCCCCAATCATGTTTGGCATTAAAACGGAACCTGAGTTCTTTGAACTTGATGTGGTGGTACTTGGCTCTCACCTGATAGACGACTATGGGTAAGATGAAAGCATTGTCTTGTGATCGTCTTCACTGTAACGTGGTGACCAGAAGAAGGCCTGGATTCTGGTTTCCTCAACTATAAAATGGGGTGGAAATCAGTATTGTAGGTGATTGTGAGGAGTGGGGAGAATGACATCAACACCATCACAGTGATAGTGTTTAGTAGATGCCTGATAAGAGACATACAAATGTTACTGTCTGTTACTACCTTCAAGAGAAATGCCGCTTGTAAATGGACCATGTGATTGTCACAGGAGCCCTTTTGGTGGTATGCCGAACTCCCCATGATCTGTTCTGTACATCAGTCAACAACATATATAGTAGTGGATATTGAACAAGATGTTAAAAATCTAAGGAGCTCTGCTGGTGCAGTGGTTAAGTGCTTGGCTGCTAACCAAAAGGTTAGAGGTTCAAACCCACCAGTGGCTGTGTGAGACGAGAGAGCTGATGATATGTTCCCGTGCACACTGCAGACTAGGAAACCCTGTGGGACAGTCTGTTC